CCTTTTATTCCTCCCTCACCCTGGTCCCAGTGTCTACCCTCACCGCCTCAACTCTTAGAGGCGCCTAACATTTTACCCCTTTAACAACAGAAAACGTGAAGCTCTAGGAATGGCGTAAATGAGCGTTGTCAAGTTCTTGCTGAAACTGACTGCTAGAGGAGACAAGTGGCTGTATCAGTGCAACATTTTTTTTTTCTCCTTAAATCGTCAAGCAAGTTCATGGTTTCTGCAGGCGATGAGCCGTAATCGGCTGCAATTTTAAAGCAATTTTGAGCCCTGATGGGTAAATGGGTAAATTTCAAGTTGCACAAAGGAGGTCATTCATAGTGGCAATTACAGCTAATTGTTTAACATGGAGATAATAAGAGACTTGCTCTGAGAATTGAGATTGTTTATTGGGTGTTTTTATCGGGGTTGTTGCTGTTTAACACGAGTAACAGCGATGGAAAACAGGTTTATCTCACACTGATAAGGCCGTGTGCAAAGAGCCCACTCTAAATGTACAACAAAAGGGTTGTGCTGTGATAGTGTCTTTCTCATATTATCCCCCTGCTTGGAGACCACTCTATCAGATGTGTCTCACCTCTGTGTCTAATGAAATCAGGCGGACACAAAGCGATGACATTAATTCAGATCAATAAATCATCTCAGGAAGGAGAGTGGTTTGTTTAATTTATTTTATATTTTTTTAATCCTCACCACTCTGTCATGCAAAATCTGTTTCAGGTTATGCGTTTTTGCCACAGGTTTTAGCTTAAGAAAAAAATATTATACATTAACAGCCCTGCCACCCCCCCTCCTCCCGCCCCATCTCTCACTTTTTAATGAGATTTGGAGTGCGCTCGCCACCCCACTGTGAAGCCATCGGTGGCAGGAAAGAGGACAAAAGGAGGTCTGATGCTCGGGCTTTGGGAAATACCCCTCTCCCCCCACACCACACATCTAATGTGAGCGCCCATCTGGTGATAGAGCACTGAGAGGAAAGGCTGAATAAAACCTGCAAGGACACATGTGCACAGAAACATACCTTAGTCTAGGGACATCAGCTCCAATAACCCAGTCGAAGAAAACAATCCCACATCCTCATGTCTTTAATGATTTTATTCTGTTTTTTTTTTGTTGTTTGTTTTATTTTTCTCAAAACATACCACTGCTTGTCTGCACATTGTGAATAAAAATAAAGCCGTTTCAACAGACACATTGTTATACACAGTTCATAAAATTCATTTACAGATTTCCTTTCATTTTGATTTCCTTTTAATCACCCTTAAGTGTTTCAGAATATCACACATATTTTTATATCAAATAAAGATATGTAAGTAACAAAATGAATTTCATAGAAAACATATTTTCCCCTCGACCTAATAGATGGTTGTGCCATGCTCGGTAATTACTCACAGTGCATACTGTTTTCACACTTTTTTAAATTCTGCCTCAGGAACAACTTGCTCAGGGTCATAACACAACAGCTTTTCTGACTTAACAATTTATTCAAGGTTTTTGTGGTGAAATTGGTGAAACTCTGCCACTTTTTTCTCTATTTGTTATGTGTAACAATAAAACAAAAACAAGAGAAATCTATGAAAGCAAACAAGAACGTTGGTGTTTGTGAAAAACAAACGATCCTAATCCTAATATTAGAGTGCGTGGCCCCAGAGGCTCCCCTTTGACGAACCGATGACGCATTTCCTGACATGATGGTCGGAATCACATGAGCAGAACAGATGAAGGAGGTGGTGGGAGAGAGGGTTTGGTTTTGGGGGCTTGCTAAATATATACCACCTGTATGGCTACAGCACTGGAGGCTGGGATGTGCAGCCTATTGTGTTTCCTGTCTCATACGGGAGGAGGAACATGTCTCTCTTTTTTTCAACCAATCGTCACTGATCCAGAGCGGGGGTAATGGTTATCCTGAATGAGCCTAGAAGTGCTTTTTCTAGATAGGAATGTTCTCAAGGTTTCAATCTTGTGGTGGCATGTTGAGTTCTGTCTGGATTCTCCACGTCTCTGTGTAACTCTCAGAACACGCCTGGGATGGTGTTACGACGTCATTCCTTTGAGCACTTTGGACAGCTCACATGCGGATGTGTGTGACCAAACAGCACCGTATTAGTTGCATGAGAGATCTTAAACATAAACAGTAAAACTCTCTTTTCAGCGAGAAGTAGAAAGATTGCATTAGCAACCCCAGAGGGTTTTAGGAGCTGTGAAAAGGAGCAAACTACTCTCATCCGAATTTGACATGTAATCAAGAGAAATGTTTGTCATCTTCTTGCAACCTGCTTAGAGTCGCTGGAATGACGGCGTGCAAATCAGAGCTTTATTTATGAGCTACTCTGGGCCTCAGGAGGTTGAGCATGACGTCGTGGACCCCCGCCTCCTGCCATTAAAGGGTGATTTTGGCATCAGGTTCCACTTTCCTAAATCCCCTCCTTCCCTTCTCATTCTCCAAATCCCTTGAGGCCAAAACAGCACCTGCCCCTATCCTCTCTTGAACAATCATTAAAATGGCTCAACATATGTTAACTCGTTCTCTCGGTTCGGGACAAACACGCCCACATGCCAAATTTTTAATCATATAGAGTCTCGGTTTCATCACATAGGTTGTCTCCCCAAAAACATTTCTGTTGTGTGTTTTAACATCATTTATTGGTGAATCGATGGCCACAAACATTTATGGGTTGCCTCCACCCAAATGTAATGGGACAGCATGACGGTTAAGGCTGGTTGACTGTGGGAAAACAGTTTAGGACTGAGTGGTGACACGTTTATTGAGCTTGTCAAATTAACTCATGCAGTGAACTGAGACAGGAAACACAATAAAGCACACACATGTGTACACACATAAAGCCTAACACAGACATAAGGAGCATGTTTTTAATATTATGTGGTTCAGATGTGCATCAATCTGATCTCTGAGTCACCTTGGGGGTTTACATAGCTGCTGCCAAGTTGTTTGGTGTCAGTGTTGATAGTGCCTGTGGCCTGAATTATATTCCTTAAGCGCTGGATGTGAGAATTCAAATTACATTTGTAATTTCTGTCTTTTTAAACACATAAATTACAGATAATGGTGCTCAACAGTCTGAGCACCATTAACTGTAATGGTTGTTTATCTGGCAACTTGTTTTAGTAAGTTGCAGGATAAACTTATTAAAACAAGTTTATCCTGCAACAGGTCACTAAGGTTGAGCTTTATGTAATGCATCCAGTGGTTAATGACAAATGTGGTAGAAATACAATGTTTGAAGAGATGCATGTCGATGGTAAAACATCTAAAGCTAATGCAGCTTCATATCAATAGGAAACACAAGATCTCATATCTATCGAGAGCCAGATCGTTATTCTTGTTTCTTGGGCCATTCAACACTTCATCCAAGGTAAGATTTTTCTCCCCCAGGGTAAGATACAATGTTTTCTGTGGTTTTGCATTATTGATATCTGAGTTCTTGAGCCACATTTTGCCACAACCTTCATCTAATAAACTGCTTTTTTTTCTTTTTTTCTTTTTTTTTTACAAACATCTTTTCCAGGATCCAAATCAAAAAAGTCTTTTGAACAATAAAAGTACCTTGCCCTCCCCTTTTCACCAAGGTGATTAAATGTGTAACTTATGGTGTTTGTCTCTATTTTTAAGTTAGTGTGCTGATAGGAAGAGAACCACTGCACCTTCATGTTATCAGTAGTCAGTTAAAGTGGTGTTGGATCTGGAAATCTTCTTTTACAGATTTTTTGGACATATCCTAGTAAAAGGAGACGACCATGGATTGGACTCAAATCTCGCTAGACCTGGGAGTTGGACCCCAGTTCTCAAACGCCACTGTCCTACGACATTTGGATGCATCTCTGCTGCAACACACCTGAATCAAATAAATGGTTAGTGACCACACTGTCACAAAACTTGCTGACATGCCAAGAAGGTAATCAGGAGTTTGATTAAGGAGTGTTGGAGCAGGATGCACTAGAGGGACTGTATATCTTTCTTGACTGTAAACACCTTTGGGTCCCTTCAAAACAAGCTGGAGAGTGACAGAAATATTTCCTTTCTGCACTTATTACTCCCAATTTAAATAAATTCATCTCATTAATCAGATGAAACAACTCCAGCAGTACCTGAACAGTACCTGATTAATCTGGCTAACTTTAGTCGTGTTCAATATGCATTTCCATCAAAATAATGTAAAACTGCATATTTGTATCCATGCTCAGTTTAAAGGATTCTTTTGATGTGATATTTCTGATTGTCCACAACATGTGTGAGATTTGTAGGCATAGTTTGCTGCCAGATCACAAATCACAACACATCCAAATAGCTCAATAAGTGCTCCCCCTTCCTCTCATCTCCATTAAGAACTTGGAGTGGTCAATAGGTCCAGCAGAACACTGGGGACCGACCCTATTGATTTCACAGACGGAGAAGGAGGGCAGCCATTAACTGTGCACTTCCTGTAGCCGCTGGATTTGCTCAGACTGACAGAGATCCTCACCTAATGATATTTTCACATCATTTTACTCAATAAGAGGGGTGATTATTGTTTTATCGTATTATAGGTGTTGCCAAGCAGTTGAAATACAGAAATACAGTAGGAACACATTTTATGAAATTACTACGCATTACCTTTGGTTTTAGGGCATTTATGGCCATCATAAACTAAAAACACAGAAAACGACCAATGTTTAATCAAGGTAATACGCTTTGACTAATTGTTCTGTGTAATGAAGCTTCTTGCAGTGGTGCTAACTGGGTTTTTCATTGACTCCATTTTGCACTGAAATATTTAGTAGCTAAGGAGGTAGACAGTTCCCTCAGGAAAAGAATACATTAAAGTGGAAAGCGAATATTGGATTTGCAGTCCAAATCATTCATATTGTAACTCTATAATTGCCGATGTGTAAATAAGTGGGTTGTCTAAACATGATCATAATATAAACTTAAACATAGATCACAAAGCAGCTGCACTTACTGCACTTGTTGACACAGATACTCCAAGCAAACACAGTTTTGTTTACTTTTTTTATATCAAAAAAGGAAAAAGATTATTTCATTTTGACATCTACAAACCTCTCAATTTACACACCAACAGAAGCATATAATCACCCAGTAACTTTGAGGCACAAAAACAGGAAACTTCTCACTATTTCATGTTGCACATTTGTCATTTTTGTCAAAAATCGCATGTTTAGACTTCAGCTGCAATGTCAGTGAACATAGTGACGGTGAAATGCTGCACAAGGGAAGGGATACACATGGGGTTTGATGGAGGGAGAGTCCGTCTACTGAATCAAAGACACTAATCAAACTAAATGCAGAGGAAAATCGGGGAGGTGAGCAGAGAGAGAAAGAAGCTGGAAGAGAACGAGAGAGAGATAGAGTGAAACAGAGAGGAAGAACAGCAGCACAGCAACACATTCAGTGTGGACGACACCAAAGCAAAAAATCAGAAACAAGAAGAAGAGCGTCCACCTCTCAGGTGGAGCTCTTTGTTATCATTCTCATCTGGTGAGCAGCCCGTTCACAAACGCATTGACTTTTTCTCATCAAAGCGGTTAGTGTTGGACTCTATTACTAAATATTTATACACATAGATTTTCTTTACAAGTGTTTGTTTTCTACATTTAAAACCACGACTTCTAAAGAAATGCATAAAAAATATGCAAAATCAAAACTGTGTGTGACTAGTGATCAGAGCTGTTACTATGAATTTATTGCTTTGTACACTGAGGGGTGTTTGGTATCACCTGCACACTACTGGCTAACTGTAGTGGAGCCTCATTATTGAGTTTCTGTTCTACCTTGAAACATTAGACGTTCAGCTGAAATAAAGCTTCATTTTGTTGTTTTCTTTTGTTTTTTTTATATACCTTTGGTTAATTGTGCAAAGAAATCGAAGCATCAGTAACAGTTTCTGAGACAAAGACAAGTTTAAAAAGAAACAGAGACAATGGACATACAAATATGTACAAATTTCACGTTGTTCCATGCATAAATACACATCCACACACATCTACATTGTGCTGACAAGAGGTCTTCACAAACAAGTCACAAATATAAATCAGGTAGGCCCCATTCAGATGTTGTCAGTGAAAACGTAGTAACAAAATAAAAGGTGAATGTAATGCATGTCGTTTGTTCTTTCCAGGGAAAAAAATATGGCACCTGGACAGAGACAAAGAAAAAGCTCTTAAAATGTTCTCTCTGTTTAGTAATCTGAAGGCTGTGGATTGCCAATGTGCAACAGAGCAGAGTGGAGGAGTAGACATACACAGAAAATTAAAGTAATCTAAACTCCAGCATTGAGAAACGCAAAGGATGTTCAAGACTTGTAAATTGTAATCAGAGGTTTATGTATGGAAACACACTTGCATGTATAATTTTTGGTCTGACGTATAATTTCTGGTTCGAGTTCATTCTTTGTTCTTTGTGATGTCTTCCAGCACATAACATCACTTCTCTGCCTTTGTGTTTGTGTTTGACAAACACAAAGTTATTGAGCTTGGAAGAAACAATTTAGCCTCAACTTCCTACACTGCAGAAAAATATTTCCCACATCTGTTGAATCTTAGGAGACAGAATAGATGGATGTTTTCATACCGACTCCTGCCACCTGGAGGGCTCTGTAGAAACCTTCTCTGCAGATTTCCAAACATAAAGGCAATAGTTTTACAACTGTCAGTGAAGCATAAAATGTCCATTCTTACTTCCATTCAATAGTGAAAAAAAAAGAAAGAACAGAAGTTTAAGAAAATAACAAAATTTTACATAGCAGTGATTGCTACTTCAACTGTATATCCATTCTATAAATAAAAAATATTTCATTCTGGTAAAATGTCTTAAGCTTAAATGTAAACAAATACCAAATACTTATTTAGGAATGTTCATAACTTCTGTATTAATCTTAAGATATTAACTCATCCAACATTTGTTTCCCTTCAACAAGATGGAAAAGGGGAAAACTTATGGAAAAAATCTGAATATTTAGATTTGTGCCAACTGGTCTCCAACTGTATGATGAATAACATGCAAAATTACATTGCATGAGATTTAAACCATTTTTTAATCTAATTTAATTCCTTATATTGTAAAGAATATATGGAATAGTTCTATAGCTAATGAAACTCATTTACCTTAATTTATTGAAATATAAATACTTAAATATAAAAAAGAGAAATTACCCTGAATGTTATGAATGTTTAATATTATGGTTTCATTAAGTTTTAGACTCTGGTGTCCTGCTGTATTTCAGTATGAACCCTAACAACATGCATTCAAAGTTCCCTACTTCCTCAACAACTGTATGCATATTTACTTTGCTCTGCTGGAAATATTATATTTCATTTGTAATAAACATCTTGAGGTTTTTGGGCCTGTGATATCAATATTTCCATACTGATTTTGGTCATTTCTTTTACCTTTTCATTGCACAAACCCATTTTAAGGCCAAGTTTGACCTTTGACATCTTGGTCCCATGTGGTGCATATTTAATCCTCAAACTCATATATATTTACTCTTTAATATTTCTATCTCCTAGGTTTCATTTGAAACAACTCTTTTAAGAATGCATTAGTTCAACTCGATGTGGTTCGGCAGAATAATTGCTGCAATAAAGCAGTAAGAATGGTTTGCAGAAATCAAACCGGAAACTGCAGATGTGCTCAGTTAGCAAATTGACAACAAGTAAAAACATTTCAGTAACCTCTTGTTTTACCAAAACATTAATCAAAATCATTTTGTCACTTGTTGAATCTCTAATCTATAGGTCATTCACATCCAAAAGCCAGTGATGGGAAAATAAATCACATTGGTGCACTGCAAGGACACGCTTTTCAGAAGAGATACAGCACAATCTATAACAACAGAGAGTTTAATTCCTGTTTACAGTGCTATGTATTAACATATCTCTACACTGAGGCGGCTGGCTTCTTGGATGTTGCTCACTGAATGTTCAGCTGACCAGTGTGCAGGCTTCAGTGTGGTCAGAAAGCCTCAACTGCTGGGATGAAGATGTACAGGTTTACACACAACTGCACTCCAAATAAATATCTATTATTAATATGCATAATAGTACATTTACATACTGCCAAATTGATATGTGCTACACCTCTAGTCATCAAATGTTGTATTATTCTCCTTAAATATATATATATATTATATATTAGTAATTTTTACACTGAATTGATAATTTTTTAGGGTTTTTCTGTGCAAACAATAAGACAATAGATTGTAGCTTTTCTTGCTTCTCATTTGTTGATATTCTTAGGACTAAAACAGATGTGTACTCAGGAAACTCGGGAAACAAAGTCAACTCATGTAACACTTGTGTTTGGCCTAAGAATACCCTTCTTCCTGCCTGTATCCATAGCCTCCTTCCTGTGCTTCCTCTTGAACGTACTCCTCCGTCTTCTCCCAGCCGGTTGCCCAGCCTCCATTCACCTGTGTGGTCGCTCCGTACGTTTTGGCTGCACCCCCAAAAGCTCCGTAACTCTGGGTGATGTCACCAGTCTCCTCCGCCAGCTCATCTTCATCAATGAAGCCACATTTTTCCTCACTAGTGAGTTCCGGGTCGGCCCATGGCTGTTTTTCTCCAGAGGCAAAGAGCCCGTAGAAGACCACTCCTCCATAGTGCACCAGGGAGGCTATCAGGAAAACGTACTGCCACTCTTCTCGAGTCTGAAGCAAAGAAAGGAAAATATCATATTTATTAACATGAAAATACTGAGGATGCAACCAGAATAAGACAGACATTTTATTCTGTTCTTCAGTCAAATGAATAAGACAGTTATTTGCTATTTATATTAATAACTTATTCAGTTCTTATTGAAACAACAAAATTTCCTCTTGTGACCATGTGCTGGCAAAAAGAAGATATTACTTAAAAAAATCATTACCCCCCATTTATTCAAGTGACACAGTTTTCAATAATAATAATAGTAATAATAATAATAAAACTTTATTGATCCCCACAGCATGGAAATTTAATGCTCAACAATAATTAAAAATGAATAAATAAATATTATTAGAAGATTATTCATTACCAAAAAATTTCCTGATATGCAGTGATACAGTTGAGAAGTATAAAAATAAAATAAAAAAGTTATTATTTATTTATGTTTGTTTTTCTACAAACTTTCTTGTAACCTTGTCAATGATCAATGGAAATATCTTGAAATGCATTTCGGCACCCAAACTGTTTTCATTAAAAATAAGGCTAATGGATTTTTGAAGATTAAGTTTTGGTGATAATCTCCATATTTCAGAAGTTGGAATGCCTCCTTGCCATAACCCCAATTTTTTGCAGTTCCTATAGATTCTCTATCTGATTCAAATCAAGACTCTGGGCCTCACCAGATGTTTATATTACTTGGAGTAAAAAAAAAATCTAACAAAAACTGTAAAATAAAAACATTAGTTAAATTAATAAATAAATTAATGGAAGACCTTACTTCATATTTATTTTTCATCAGATGGTTTTCCTGTTCAATTACTCTTCACACATTCTGTTTTGTTTTGTTTTATGGTATTTGTAACAGCCAGCATGGTTTTATCTGTAAACTATATATTTCTATGTAAATTACTGCAAATCGTTAATATCAACATTTTTAAAATGCATCTCCTTTAAGATGACAAAACTCCACTTTGGAACTGGTTTGAGTAGAACAGGCTGAAAGCTTGTTAGCTGGCTTGCAGTTCATAAGTTGAACTACAAGTTTCTTCTGCAGGTGAAGTTTTATTTCATGTAATGTCTAAGCGAGGACTCACCACATTGCTGTGTGGCGAGTCCTTTTCCTGTTTAAACAATTGATAACAATAAGCATAGGAATGTAATTATTTCTTTCTGGTGCGTCAAGAATCGTTCAGGATTTTTTTAAAAACCGAATGTAATCAGGGATGTTTGTTATGTTCACAGTCAGAGACTAGAGATTTACCTTGTTCTTTGTCATAGCACCAACAATTAGAGGACACACCATCCCAGACAAGGTACCAACACCATTAGAGATGCCCATCAGGATACTGGCATAACGAGGAGCGATGTCCAGATGGTTCACATTAAAGCCTGGTGGTATTAAATATAACATGAAATTAAAACACTGCAGACCCATTTATCTTTTTTTTGTTTTTTTGTTTAGGAAACAAGTTCAGTTAGTCATATTTAGCTGCTATATTTAGGGAGATAGTGTGACAGAATGCACTGAGTAAAGCTGAAGATAAAAGCAGCACAAATGCAGACCACCTTGTTGCAGAAATAGGCAACGACTCTCAACACGTCCTCCTCCCTCCCCCACAATGACTGGCTGAATGAGTAAGTGTCCTCCCGAGCTGCTGCACGCTGCCTGCCTGGCGTATCCCCCCGAGACAGCTCGCACTGAATTATTAAAGACTCTGGCAGAAAGCTTGAGAGCAAGAGGAACGAAACTGATTTTGCACACAGACCTCTGGATCCTTTGCTTCCTTTGTACTGAACAAAAACATGAGCTTTGAGATCTGTTGAATGACTGGACTGTAAAAAGAATACCACTACAAGTTGCAATCTGATGTACGTATATAGATAAAAATGTGAGTTTATTCAACAAAATATTGATACTTTTAAGTCTAGAATATGAGTAAGCACAACAAATAAGGCGATTTTATCAAAACTGAGCATTGTGTCATAGTTTGTCTTTTGCAACACATTTAGGAACATATCACAAACCTGATATGGCAAATCCACTAAAGCCCACTGCCAGCACAAGGAAGGAAATTGCCACCCCTTTGCTGTGGGAATACCCCACCACCAGCAGCAACGTGGCCTCCATGCCAAATCCTAGCAGGAAGAGAGACAGCGGGTCACACGTGTGCACACAAAGTACACAAAAAGCCCGGAGGCCGCTTGCTGGTCATCACGGTGCCAATTGAATTAAGCACGATACATGCGCTGCACTCAATTACATTGCTGACAGATATGAAATCAATGCACAGTGACCCACACTCACGGAGTGAGTCAGCCTCAGAGCTTGAAGTATTGTGCAGATAGATTTTACAAAAATACAAACAAACTTATCTCTAAAATCCATCTGGCAAAGCAGGGAAAAAAACGGTGAAAAAAACAACAACTGTGAAAGTAACACCCTGTGGCTGAGCAAGAGAAGTGTGGAAATGATTTTTTTTTGTTTTCATTCATCCGCGGTTCAGCTTTCTCACCTCCACAGTTCATTATTTTCCTGACAGTGGTTGTTGTCAAGATGTTCCTGCTGCGCAGGTAGTCGGCCAGCTGACCGCCAATGGGCACGATGATGGTCATCACCAAGTGAGGAAGGGCAGAGAGTATGCCCACCTGAGAACAAGGAAAACGTTTAATCACCTACTGCCCCTATCAAGACAGAACAAAAACAACTTTGAAATTCAGATTAAATCTGCACTCAAGCATTTAAAGCATTGAATACAAATAACCATTTCTCTTTTGTTGTTGCCATTGCAAAAAGAATAAAAACAAACTAAATAAAAAATATCTAATAATAACTAACATTGATGGTTAAAGAACATGTTGTTGGTATCTGCTTGTGGGAGTTTGCAAAATGATTTAATCACCTCTAGTTCCAAGTCTTGTTAGACGTCAGCTGCTTTTTCCACACGTTTTCTGTCACACTTCAATAACATGGTTGCAGGATCTGAATGTATAAATTTTAAGGTTTTGGGAAAAGCTAAGAACTCACACAGAACCCAGGAGGTTCTTTTGTTAATCATTTATAGATTTCTCTTTTTAAAATGTGTCTTTCAATACACATTCTGCTTGAGTTTGGAGACATTTTTTCAGGCCTATCAGGCCTCTTAAATGTTAAGATAAAACATAACCAAAGAAAGAGAGAAACTAAAATCAATACTGAACTGTAGGGGGACTGTTTTATAAATACGGTTAAATCCATATTTATAGGTAAAATTCTGGCCATCACAGCTACTGACATTTTACCATAAATTAGGGATTTTTTTTTTTTTCGGGTAGCCTGTGTCTAAAGATTAAAACCTTGAAAGATGCTCCATAGGGGGAAAGCTTTTTCCCCCCAATATGCAAATTCAAAAAATTTCTCATTCTATGTCATCTATATCAAAGTCATTTGATTGTTTATGTAAAAACAAAATGCTGAGTGGGCTGCCAGGGATATTGTAAAATAAAGAAATTGCAATATTCGCCCTTTGTACACCAAGTTAAACTTGTTGCATTTCTCCTTATTAATTAACAGTAAATATTAATTAGTAATTAATGCAATTACACCCTGTGTTTGTCTTATTTACTTCTGTTACTTAAATTACCATTTCTTGAATAATAAAAAAATAGCCTGTGTTGTTCAAAGATATATATATATATATATATATATATATATATTATATATATATATATATATATATATATATATATATATATATATATATATATATATATATATGTTGTGAAATCATGTGCATATCTTCATATCAAAGAGCATCTCCACTACCAACATTAGCTGAAGCATGATTTACCTGGTGATTAGTTATGCTTTACGTTTATGCAAGATGGCCCACCTTGCTTATCTCAAAGCCGAACACTTCCTCAAAGTATGCAGGCTGACTGATGAGCAGCAGGTAGAAGGTCCAGCTCCTGCAGAAGTTTGCCACAATGATTGCATAGACAGGCATAGAGGTGAAGAACTTCCTCCAAGGGGTCTTGAATTTCTAGAAATCATTAAAAATTGATTGGTTTGCAAATAGAAACGGACAGCTGAGAAAGAAATAAAATCAGTAAGTCATTTTTACGTGCAGTTTTGATTTCCTGTTGATGCCCTCTTACCTCTGATGGACCCATCAGCTTGGCACTCTCTCCAATGCTCTCTTCTATGTAGACACGCTCTTCATCAGTGATGGAAGGGTGGTCAGCAGGGCTCTCGTAAGACACGAGGATCCAGAACATGTACCAGAAGATGCCGAAGCATCCTGCAGGAGAAACGCATTTAAAATATTTGGTTAATCAGAGATTAATTACAGCAGATCATCTTGACCTCAAATATTTGGAGGACGCGTCAACCGAAAAAAAAAAAAAAACCCAGACAGGAGAGCTAACTGTATCCAGTCTGGAGGGAAAGACGGGGGGCTGTTTATTGACAAACCAAAACAACGGGGAGGGAAATCAATACTCAGTCTGCCTGGATAAATCTGTTTGACTTTCACTGGACTCTTTAACTGTCAGAGTCTAGAGCTTAGAAACACTTCCACCTAAATGTGAGCAGAGCACGTCCATTCATCCATCTACTTGCCATAGACATAAAACACTGAGGACCATCCAGTGTACTGGACCAGGATTCCAGCCAGAGGCATCGCTATCACAGCACCAGCATAAGAGCCTAGCAAACAGCAACACAAGACCATCAACACATTTACGATTAGGCATGTGAGCATTATAACAGATACAGATGTGCAGTTCAGGAGTGTGTTTATTAAGGAAAATATCTGTTTACCACAAAATGAGAGGGTAGCCAGACGACTCCTTTCTAGTGGTGGAGCCCACTTGCTCCAAATGCCATGACAGGCTGGGTAAGTCACTCCCTGAACACACCACAACGAGGGTCACTATTAACGCAGTGCATTCATACAAAGGCACCAGCTTCATTTTAAATCACAAGCTATTTATATTCACTTCTTTAGATACAATTGTGTATTGTAAATATACATTACAGTACATGATATTTGCAGTGTGTTGCATAATCGTTGAGTCTGAGGTTCCCTTGCAGTCTATCCTGGAAAGCCCTACCCATGCATGAAGCTGAACAAACACTTATTTAGCACAATGACTAACATAAATTAGCACCCCCTGTCCCTGCTATAACCATGAACAAACTGAGCACCTGATGAGCTGCTTATAGAGCAAAGCAGGTATCTGGATGTCAAATGTTTGTCAGCTGCTAATTGGAAAAAATTGTGGAAATTACAGTCTGCATGTTCTTTCTTGTTTTTGCAGATCAGTGTATAAAGCAGTCTGTCTTTAAAGGACTAAATAAAATATATCAAAATGTATTTCCCTTTCTCCTTTTTTGTAAACTGCAAAACAATGAGGGCTTTTCTACATTTAGTTGATGGAAATGCACACAACAGGCAAATTTATCTGCTTATTTTTCTTTTACAAAATACAGTCAAGGGAGTGATACGACTTAAATCTGAATTTTCCCTCTAATCTATCGCTACGGTGCAGGTGGGGGGCACGCTGCTGATGCTGCGTATCCAGGATACAGTGCATGACATAAGAGGAACCAGAGCTTGAATGTCCTACAAAAACAAACTGTAGTGGATCAGATCAATAAAGCTCATCTCAAATTTCCTCTGGCTACATATCCAGAAAGTGTGCTGCAATCAGTCCCCTGTACTGTTTAGCTGGTGGATTGAATTGAAACATATCATAGCTGCATTTTAAAACAATGAAATATGTTTTAGGTTATTTCCAGTCAAAACGAGGAGGTGGAAGACATTTAGATGATCTTACCTCAACGAGTCCTTGCAATATTCTGACAAAAATTACACACCCATAGTGGACTCGAGCAGCAGAGGGGATGAACATGTTGAGAATGGAGGTGAGGACAATAGCTGCACCAAATACCCTGTAAATGTTAAGAGAAAAACATTAAGAATAATGGCATTTTAGCACTGTGGTTATTACCGTAATGCTTCATGGTGGGTTTTTAGCTTGCATTATTTAACTAAGAAAGGATTTGATCAAATAAATTATATAGCGTATTTTTATTTTATTTTTATTTTATTTTTTTTAACAAAACAGTAAAGCATTTGTATTCACACTTATTTCCTTATGTTAAAAAATATTTAGTGCAGATCATGTTGGTATTTGATGACGACAGCTGTACGCATCCTCTTTAAGCGTCGTCATAGAAATAAATAATAAAACCTGCTGCGCTCTCACACCGGTCTCACAGTCGCTTGGTAACCACTCTCACTTTTGCACAGTTAAAAAGAAAAACATAGTAATGTCGTTTGATAGCAATAGGGTGGGGAGGGGGGTTTGATTTCCAGGATACTGTGTGATATCTTGCAAAAGAAACGGACAGAATGGTTTCTCTAGTCTCTTTTTGTGTGTGTGTGTGTGACTCTAAAATTGAGAAAATTACACTAAAAACGACCAATGTACGTCTACTTTTCTTTGGAAAGGTTGGACTATTTATATCCGAGCCAAGGCCACTGAAACCGCGCATTTGTCACTTCTGGCACGTTCTCCCACCGCACTCGGCTTTACGTGGAGGGGGGCGGGCCTGTGGGGGCACGAGACCAACTGATTAGATTAAACCGCACGCGTCAATCAAGCGGGGTTACAGACCCGCCAATCGGGTCACAGGAAGATGTCACTATCAGAGGGCTTGTACTGAAAATCAGAATCATTTCCTACGCACTGACTCATTGGTTGACACGATATTTCCCAAATATCCAATAGACTAGCGTCGTACGCTATTTTCAAAAGCCAAAAACATTTTCTTTAAAACTTCCTCTTTATATATATTTATAGACTATTTGCAGTGTCATGGTAACGGGCCCACTGCTGGGTGTCTCTGTGGTAAGTAAGTCATGCGTAATTACAATGAGCGAGACGTTGGCGGGGGAATAAAAGCCTTTGGCAAGCAGTACCGAGTCTGGTATCCGCACCCCGAGAGAGCGACAGATTAGACCCGGGTCTCCCCAGGGAGCTCATTAACAGGTGGCGCGGAGCCTTGACACCAGGAGCTGCAGGGCCGCCGGCCCTACTGTCTGCTGCTTCTTGGAGTTAATCTCTATTTTCCTGCATGCATCGATTTAGTCTGTGGTTAAATAATATCAACCATTCGGAATATAATTCATGAAATGCAAACGAGGAGAATAGAGATGGTTTTGTGTCACTTTAAAAAAATGTAAAAATACATAGGCTACAATACAATCGTGTTATATTTAATTGCATTTAAACAAAATGAGAGTTGTCATTCTTCTAATATTTCTGAAAAATGATCGGTGCCGCCAACCTATTTGCTGCCAGCCTCGAGGAAATGTATCCTCCCGGGATTTGCGTCACGATGTAGCCCCAGAAAAAAGACCCGTGGATCATTCCCACTGTCTCCGGGTCCCAGTTGAACTTAGCTTTCTGGTGAGGGGGGGGAAAATGTAAAAATTGAATCAGCTGAAAAGAAAAAAAAAATGACCATGATGCAGAAGTGACTTTGCAGATTTCCCTCACTTCATGAGATGTTGATGCAGGCTGCAACGATCCGATTATGATTAGAAAAGCATAACAACACTAAACGAAACATAAGATACTGACTTATGACGAGTACAACAAAATGAAGCAGTTTTGTGTTTTAGCGATCGAATAATTGTTAGACTTGAGTGCAAAACACATTAAAAAATATATATTTGAAACTAAGCATTTATGGTTTTGCTGTTCACCAGTGAGAGGTTTCAGAAAAAATAATTCTATGTTCTCATATGAAAAATTCTGATTGTTATGATCTCCTTCGTTTTATATTCATTTTAAAGTTGACATATTTTAGTCCATGGTGACAATAAGCAACTTGAATCATTGAGTGGATTATTCAGTTGACTCATGTTGCAGTAAAAGGCCTTTTTGACTCCCGTTGGGGGAAACGCACTCTGCCTGCTTTCTCCTTTATTTTTCCTGAACAAAAACAAATCACATCATCTCATGGATGTTCAGTCAGAATTCCCCCTTCTCTCCAACTCTCCTTCCTGTCGTGCGTAAAAGCGTGCGTCTGTCGTCGTCACGCACCTCCTTGATGATGATCTTGCCGTTCTGGTGGACGGTGCTGTTATTGACCATGCTCACGATGGCCACGCCCAGGTTGCATCGGATGCCGAAGGAGATGCAGAAGCCCAAGCCGCTCATGATGGCGATGATGTAGCGGCGCGGCAAGCCGAAGCACGTGCAGTCGCACAGCGGGGGTTTTTTCTCCGCGGCCTCCCGAGGCCGCCCGTCCTCCGTCAGCTCGATCACCTCCCCGGTCTTCTGCCTCCTTTCTATCACCCTGCGGACAGTCGGGCGAAGGCTGAGTCCCGACTCACAAAAACATCCCTTATGAAGAGATGGTGATGGCGTTTGAAATCATTTAACACAAGATCACCTTAGATTTTGAGAAAATTTTTTTTATAATTTTTTTTTTCAGAGACATCGTTTTTCCTCATGTTTTCTTTTACAGTAGACTGATGCTTTAGGTGCCATGCACCCAAAGAGTTCACGTGATTTAATGTGAAATTCAATGACTCAAATGGCCGATGAGGCCTCTGGAGCGACAGTGTTTTACAGTACACGCTGTTCTCTTCTGTGCCATTGAAAAAAAAAAGATGCTATCAAGTTGAGGATTGAAAGATAGAAGAAATACCAGAATCACGTAGCCTACAACGTCAAATTGCCTCATCCGCATCCACTCAAAATAAAAACGATAAGAGAAATAAATCTAAGGGCAGAGAATCGGAACAACTAAGTTTGGCCTGCAGGTTCAAAATGGATCAAAATGTCCCTGACTGTACCGCATTGCAGCAGCCTTACACTTTCACGCTCATTAGTATTCAGAGACACAGCAGCAGCAGCAGCAGCCTGCAGACGCGCGTCTGTGGGCTTTCCTCAAACTCCTCCCCCCCACCACCCCCAACTTCACGCTTCCTTTCGGCAAAAGCACGTTCATTTTACACATTTATACGCGCAAAATGCCTATTGCGACAGGATGAACGATACAGCTGCGCACACTCCCTCTTCAAATCCTCTGTGGATTTGTACGACCGAAGCTGCTCTATAAAAGAACCAGAACATCGAAAAGAAACGAGAATTGGGGAGGCCTTGGTGTGGCATCACCTGAGCACAACGAAATTCAGATTTATTTAACTTCAGATGTGTGTCTAAAACTGACCACACATTCAGAAGGCATAAATGTAGCTTTAAGTCTAAAGAAACTCGACTGGACACGAATGACAAGTTTTAATTCCTGGCTTGTTAAAACAACAACAACAAAACAACAAAAAGCAACAACAAAAACAAACCATAAGGATATTTTTAAAAACTCGTTGGAATGGATGATTCTGACATGCTCGGTGGACGCAGGATCGTAATGACTCGGAAATGGTCAGCGAATATCAAGAAAATCCTTGCGCCCCGTTTCACCAATCTGCCAACCAGCCTCATGTAAAGGCCGCTTCATCCGGAGGCATCCGCGCTCTGTAAACATCGCGCACACGCACAGGCGCGCGCACACGAGTTTACATAATTTTATTCTCACTTACAGAGGCGTGACCAGCCATCTCTGTAAGCACCTTTAAGAACATTAAGTTGACCCATGCATCCACAGCGATGCAGCGTTGTGAAAACAAAATACAGCAATTTAACGTGCATTTCAATGTAAAAGCCCCTACCTGTACATCTGACTCAGGGTCTTCCCCGCAAATTCCTTGACCCCTGTCTTCATGGACTCCATGTCCAGTTTTTGTGTGTTGACTGTTTTTTTTTAAAAATAATAATAAGAATAATTTTACTGTCTCGGCATCATGTTACAGCAGCGGATGGCCGACTGCCGCGGCGGGCGGCAGGAAAGCGACAAAACGAGGGTGGAGGGAGTCTGAGCCCAGGGAGGAGACGATCCAGTCGGCGAGTTTAACAACAACAATAAAAAAAAAAAAAAAAAAAAAAAAAAAAAAAAACAACCCGTGACGAAAACACCTTTTGACAAAGAGAGGAATTCAAACGAGGTGCGCGCCTTCATCCGCCAGCAGCTCTCCTCCCGCCCGGAGTGCAGGAGCCGCACAAAGTGCCATCGCCGCCAAAAAGACGAGCGAAAGTGAGAGCCAGTGGCGTGCGAGAGAGCAATGTGAGTTCAAAAAATGATCATAAATAATAATTTAAAAAAAACTAAACAAAGCGAATCATCTACCGCATGGGAAAACTGCTATATATTAAAAAAGCCACATAAGAAAACGGAGCGTTTGAACAGAAGCATTAAAAGAGGGAGGGAGGCTGGATGGTGTCTCCTGTGATGAGAGCAGGTTCATCTGACGTCGTGTTCAGCACCGAGGTCAGCGACAGCAGCTCCGCGCTGGACAGCTGCTCACCATATTATACATACATATTATACACACACAGATATATATATATATATATATATATATCTGTGTGTGTGTGGGGGGGGGGTGTGGGTGTGTGTGTGTGTGTGTAGCTATATATAGTGTTTCTGTTGCCTTACATCCTGATTTAACATGCAGACTGCAGCTGAGGATGCAGACAATATCCAATTTTATTAAAGAAAAAAAAAAGAATTAAGGACAGTAACCCTAAAAATGAAAGCTGCAGCTCCCTCGAGGGCGGTGCTATGGTAACCAGATGAACTGAACCGCCACTATCAACCCCTCCCCCCCCCCCGTCACTCCCCCCTCCCCCCTTTCCCCCTTCAACAAGCTCCTGTCTCCAGCGCAGGAATCCATCAATAATTCATTAATTATTTCTGCTATTCTCATTGTCCCTGACTATCACGTCTTCAGCGGGGAAAATGAACTTCACTTTGGAAGCATCGTCATCCTCCATGTCTCCTTGGAAATTCAAGGTGTTGCTAATTATAATTTTACAACAATAATACAGGCATAAAAACGTTTTGCATTTATAAATAAATAAATAAATAAATAAATAAATAAATAAATAAATAAATAAATAAAGTGTCATTTTAGGAAGGAAATACTGATAATTAGTAATTACAGCAAATAACAAATCAAAGCTTGCTTTTCTTCTCATTTGTGGTTATTGGTTGCCACCTGGTGGCCGAAAGGAGAAGCTTTGAGTACCTGCTTTTCTGACATTATATTTTTAAAAATTATTGTCAGATTACTATTGAAATACCATGTTCACTCTCACCTATCATGACTCTAGTAGGTGCGTTTCCTGTAAATAATTTGACAGTAGTTTGTTCTATTTAGCCCCTGGGGAAAATGCTCATGATTTTTTATTTTTTTAAATACAACTTCTCTGAGTATCTGAAATCTTTGTCAAATCATTGTGTGACAGCCAAATTGGATGTCAGTCTTTACCATTTTGTAGCATCATCAGTTTCAGCTGGACATAAACTTTAATTCAAGCAAGAAACATTTCCTTGCTCCTGGCAGTGAAAACAACGACAAGGAAACTTTGTTAGTTGTGTTAAACCTTGACCCAGTTCCAAAATATGTTGTGATATTTTATACAGTTATAAAATAGTCACAAATGAAGTGATTTGTTGTTGATCAAGGCACCGTGAAGACATGGGTCTTCCATTACCCTTTGTAAATGTGTTCATAAATCAAAAATGAACAGCTGTTGGATATATTATGATTTCTAAAATAACCCAAATAACATATTCCAGTCAATTCCTGCACTGAGATTATCTGATGGAAAATTGGCTTAAAGAGATGGAGGGCTTTTGTCCAACTTTAAAACATGAGGAAATCAAAACATTTCCAATAATAGAAATTACGATTTATAGAAAAACTTTATTTTGCTCAAAGAGTATCCAGTGAACTTGAAATAATTTTATTATAATAGTACATTTTTGTGCAGTTACACTTCACAAATTAAACAGACCTGAACCAATCACACAAAATTAGATCCCATTGATGCTGTGGTGGTACGGAGGTAGAGTGTGTGACCTGTGTACAGAGACCTCAGTCTTTAGCATGGCTGTCATGGGTTTGAGTCCTGGCCTGATAATCCTTGCTGCATGTCTTCTCCTTCTCTCTCACAACGTACTTTCCTGTCTGACAATTTTCCAATAAAACCACAAAAGTTGTTTTTTTTAAATGCATCTATTCATTTGGATGTAGAATCTCTGTTAATGTACAATGCATGCCATCTCAAGGAACTTTAGAAAAAAAAAATCCAGTCAAACATACTTTCCAATTGATCCTGGCCTTTGAGGTTCATAGTTTCAATTTGCAGTTTGTGCCTAAATAATTCTGCTGAAAATGCAATTTTCCTCAACCTCCATGCAGCCAGTGGTGCAAAATATAATTTATGATAAACTGAGACAAACTGAGGTTCTGATAATTTTATAAACTTGTCTATAAAATTCATTTTTTGATAGAAAAAAAGGAATTACCTTGAAAAGTTTATTTGAGCACACAGAAAACGCCAAATGACCTCTGGAAGAGATTATATTCCTGTTTAATAAGTTACAGCGAACTAAAACAGAAACACGTTGCACTGACAAGTGCAAAAACATAGTAAATAGGAGACAACGAACAACATGAATGCACTTAAGAAATGTTTAATTAAAAACATATAAAAACAACTTATGTGTTTAAGGCATTTGATGGGGAAACCACCATGCAACATGCATGATCAACTCCACACACTTTAGTTCTGCATAACTAACACTAGACTGGATTTAATCTTGAGATAAAAAAATAAATAAAAATAGGCTTATTTCTAAATATGCCGAGGATGATCTTATGATAACAAAAAATTAAAGGCCCACAAGTAAGATTCATATAAAAAAAAATGAATACATACAAAGGTATTTTATTTTAGAGAAATGTAAACTGCATTAAAATCTGCACAGCAGTTTAATCTTGGCTGGTCCCTGACACGTAATAAGAGGCTGTTCATTTATTTTATTTTTTATAAGAAATGTAGATTAAAAACACTGCTTAAAGGCAATTAATAGAACTATGAAGGCTTTAACAACACCAACTAATCTGCTGGGAAAGGTAAAAGAATTTCACTTAGTAACTTTTCAGGTTGCAGGGCAAAACCAAGTCAATAAAATATATTGCTTTGTACCTTTACTTCAGAAAAGGCTTGATGGTGTGACTTGAAATTATTTACAAAGAAAACACGAGGTGAATTTAGAGCAATCTTACACAAAAAAATTAAATATTTTTTCAGAAATTAAACTCTTTAAAGTTAATCATGCAACTGTTCCTTTCTACATGCAAAATTAAAATCTGAGATGTTCTGTATGTATATTTTATACACACTGAGAAACTAATTAAAGAATTGAAATTAATTCATTGAAAACAAAATTAAATCTGCAAAAATGTTTTGTTTTTGTGTAAGAGGTCCCGTAACAAACTGATAACAAAAGTGAAAGGTATGATACAAGTCTGCAGCTGCTGAACTGTGAGAATAAAATCCTTTACTTCTGATTGTTAGAATCGCTGCTGTGAATAGGAGGTACTTGGTTTTTCAAAGCTATGCTCTCAGGAGGTTTTCACTAAACATAATACTCCATAACATCATAACAAACCAAAACTGTACAACTAAAATATTACAAGTGCAAATCAGAGCAGGTGAACATTATGTAGCTACTAGTTTAAAAGGAAACACAGAAAAAAAAAAAAACTTTTTTACTTTGTTTCCACTCTGAAATAATCAAATATTTGTGTTTTCTACATTAGTAGTTTCAATATATAATATTCCAATCACATCACCTTTAACAAAAACATACCTTTATCTAATAAATAAAATAAGTCTAAATAAGTCCTTCACGTTACATTGCAGAAAATAACATTTGGAAAACTATAATCTGATTTTAAAAAGTATTTACGCTTTAATTTGCATGTCAAAGATCACATTAAGCTTCATCACAGCACGTAGGCGTTATTAGCTCGCAAACTTGGAAAGTTTAAGAGGATTTCATAGAGAAAGGAAGAAGCTGCAGATATAAGGTTTGCTTTATTTCACTCCTGATTCTTTTACTTTTTCCAAAATGTTGTATGGCATAAAAAAATATATAAAAATTTGTCTTTACCATATTTTCCGGACTATACATAGCTCTGGAATGTAATGACACAAGAAGAGGGTGAAAACATGTAAGACGCATTGAATTATAAGTCACGTTTATTTAGTAATTGTTAAACATAAGGGGGACCTTGTCCAAACGATATGTCTAAATAAGTGCTTAAGTGTTCAGTTGCTTTTCAACAAGCTCACAGAAACAATCAACTTTGTCTTGGAAGTTTGCTGGCAGTTTCTGAAACTGCGTGTTAAATCAGGGGGTCAGGAATGACTCAGCACAGCCAGTGAAGTGCACAGCGGGGCAGAGAGCAGACGAATGCGGTAAATCCGGAGTGATAGGCGGTTGGGTTCATTGAAGTGGTAAGACCTAGAAGCCCCTTCTGGAAAATCATTTTTATTCATCTCTTTGGCAGCTAGCAGGGCGTCTCTGTGCTGGTAATTGCCAGGATGTCTCTATAAACTGTTCACAAGTAGTTATTCCAGTAGTTTTGAAAGGTAACACCGATAGATAGACATTTCTATCTAGATGCTATCCAGAACACAGCTCTAGCTGTCTTCTTTTCAGGCCATGATTACATTTCCTCAGGCTGCAGAAGGGAATGTTTAATTCTTGGGTCATGTCCAGCAGTATGATTTAATATTTAATGCATCAGTCAAAAAAATGCATCATGAAGAGGGGAAAAAACCTGCATAACTCGCTCCTGACTGTAAGACACAGGACCAGCCAAACTATGGAATATGGTGCAACTCATAGTCCGGAAAATACAGTAATCATAATAAAAACTGATTCCAGGTTTTATTTTTTACGGAATGCCTCGTTTAGTGGATTCCAACATATGAGCACAACTTAAAGGTGCTAAGGCCCATTTATGTTGAAAAAAAATTTTCTGTTTGA